GGTACATGAATGAAGCAGAGAGACTTTGTTTTCTAGAAAAAGGATTGCATTTCACTCTAAAAGCAGGTTTTGGAAGCCCTGGAGAGACACCCTGTGTTTCTGTTCTTTGGCAGCTTGTTTTCACACAAGCTGTGTCTTTCTAAATTCTTAAGTGGTTTCAAAGAGTGTTTTAACGTTGCCAGTAAAGGCCCTTTCTCCTTGCTCTTGCCACGTACAGATGGTGCACAAGAATGTCTTTGACAATATTTTAAAGCCACTGTGAATAACCATTCTTGTGACATGAATAAAGTAAGGGCTTGTTTGCTGAACAGCTGGGGCTACAGTGTTCTTCGCATGGCCGAGCGGAGAGGGGGAGAGACGGGGAAGGAAGAAAAAGCAACCATTAGGTGATCGGCAAGTCCACTCCCACTGTCTGGAAGTGACATCACCTCCTTTGAAACGGTGCCCTAGAAATCAGGGGGTTTTTTTTGGGGGGGGGAAGGGCACCCAACCAAATGGTAGACACGTTAATGTTACAGAATGATCAGTGTTTAATCCCCCAAAGAAGCGTAGTCGTTGCACCGAGATGGAGAAGTGAATGGTAGAACACTTACTGCACAGCTTGCAAGGAAATGGATTTAAAGTTTTGTCTGGGTTTCATCTAGCCTGAGTTTTAATGCCACTGAGAACAGTATGAAGGGGAAAAGGGAAGGGAGAGGGGGTGGTGGTAGAAAGGAGAGAGAGGGCTGTGAAAAGAGAATGAGAAAGAGACAGAAGAAAAAGAAATTTAAAAAAATAGACAGGCAGATTACGTTTAGGGATTTAAAAAAAAAACTTTCGGATGCCAAAAAAAATAGATTTTTTAACTGATGTGCATGTGAGTATTCTCACCATGAGCTGCCAAAAATAAAATCTGAACAGTGAAAAAAACCTAATAATAGCAATAGCAATAAAACATAGACTTATATACAGCTTCACAGTACTTTGCAGCCCTCTCTAAGCAGTTTACAAATTCAGCATTTTCTCCCCAAGAATCTGGGTCCTCATTTTACCAACCTCAGAAGGATGGAAGACTGAGTCAACCTTAAGCCACTCAGAACAGAACTCCTGGAGTGAGCAGTGAGCTTGCCCGACAGTACTGCATTCTAACCACTGCACCACAATGCTCTAATTAATCATAATTAACAATTAAAAATAAAAGAATTTCTATAATACTTTCAAGGAACGGTCTATGCAACAGGTGCTTCTAAAGATGTTTTACAGAGAAATATTAAGCTGGTAAATTGGGATATGTTATGTATTCAAGCTGGTTTTGTCAGCCATCAAGGCAAGAAAGAACAGTGTTCAAGCTGTTACGGAATATTTAGGTCAATGAAGGGAACAACAGTCCTCGAGCCCAATTTGGCCAACTTGCAACAACATTGGTCTTCGTTTTCCATTATTCTCCCCTTTAGAGGCGGGCATGCTTGACATTTAAAAAAATTGGCAACCCTGCTCTATTCACTGTGACTCACAAAATTCTAGATAATTGAGCAAAGGACCTAAGAGTAAATAAACTAAGGCCATTCAAAGGACTTACCTGAAAATATTCACAGACCACTTATATGCCAAGACCATAGATCCCACAAACTATCTCTGTTCCCTCCCCGCTCCCCAATTTAAAACATCTAGTCAGGTTAAGATGAAATGCTTGCAAAAAAAATCTGTTTTACTGTTCAGGAGGCAGATTCTCACATGTAGCTAAAAGGTCACTAGAAAAGATGCGAACCCCCGAAATCATACTGGTAGTTTTCATTGTCCAGACGAATAGATTGGGCAAAATGTAGACATTAAAAAAAATATTTGAGAGCTTCAAGGCATTTTAATTGAACCATTTTCCTTGTGGATATTTGAGGAACTCATTTTAATTCTTTAAAATTCCCATGGAAAAGAATGAAATTTTGACAGATTTCCTGATAGACTTTTGTAGAAATGACTGTTATGGTAAAACAAAAAGTTGTGATTTGTTGTAAAGGCCTTATTCTACTGTAACAGATAAAGTCAGAAGTCAATATTTCTTTCCCTATCCTTCCTCATATTTCTTTCCCCTTTTCCCTTCCCCTTCAATGTCCTCTTATTTGCTTTGTATTTTGTATTTTATAATACTTTATAACCAGGGGTGGGTTCTGGCAGTCACTACTATGCGTGCATGAACTGTGCAATAAAAATTGCTCTGCGCATGCACAGGAGCAAAAAACAAGATGGTGCCACCTATGGCGTCACCTGGAGAACCGGTTCAGGGGCATGCCAGGCCTGGGTCGCTGCCAGATGCAGCAACCCAGGAAGCAAAACCACTACCGGTTCAGCCGAACTGGTCCAAACCGGTAGGGACCCACTTCTGTTTATAACCTAATAAAAATGTGTTTGTAATTCTTTAACATTCCTGAAACCTGCACTCTAACTGAGACTTCTTCCTCACTTATGGAATGCAAGGGCATTGTTTTGTCAATGGAAGCCATGCAAAAACTTTAGCATATTCTTCTAGCAATCTATGAAATATGATAGTCAAATAAAAGTAAATATAATTAGTAACATTGTTCTCTTGATTTATAGTTATTTGAAGCTGTAGATTTACCACAGATTTTCGTCTACTTAGATAGCTTTTAAATGGAAAATATATCATTAAGTTCCTAAGAATACGATCATAGCGGCTGAAATTTTCTAGCATCTAACAACAGGTTATAGTAACCAATAAAAATATGTTGTGGTCAAAATCACACTTCAGGTAGACAGGTGGTTTCAACATCCAAAATCCACTACTAGTAAAATTTAAATGAATAATAATGAATAATAATCCATTCAGAATATCATCTGAGGCTTGTTTTTCAGAAATAAGTCAATTTATGGCCTCATCTAGAGCAAAAGGTTTGTGTATAACTGCAGGAAATGTTCTATGCTAATGTATAGTATATATTATAATATATTTATATACATTCGTATAATATTATAGCAAAACTATGATTTGCAGCCAAAGTTTTGAATACATTTTTAGTTTTGGTCGTCACGATGTAAAAAAGATGTGGAGACTCTAGAAAGAGTGCAGAGAAGAGCAACAGAGATGATTAGGGGACTGGAGACTAAAACATATGAAGAACAGTTGCAGGAACTGAGTATTCTAGTTTAATGAAAAGAAGGAGTAGGGGAGACATAATAGCAGTGGTCCAATATCTCAGGGGTTGCCACAAAGAAGAGGGAGTCAAACTATTCTCCAAGGAACCTGAGGATAGAACAAGAAGCAATGGGTGGAAACTGATCAAGGAGAGAAGCAACTTAGAACTGAGGAGAAATTTCCTGAAAGTTAGAACAATTAATCAGTGGAACAGCTTGCCTCCAGAAGATGTGAATGCCCCAACACTGGAAGTCTTTAAGAAGATGTTGGATAGCCATTTGTCTGGAACGGTATAGGGTTTTCTGCTTAGGCAGGAGGTTGGACTAGAAGACCTCCAAGGTCCCTTCCAACTCTGCTATTGTATTGTATTGTATTGTACTGTACTGTACTGTACTGTATTGTATTGTATTATTGTATTATTGTATTACGTCTCAGCCCCTAAAAACCAAAATCTGAACAATGAAAAAAATAATTAAGAAAATCACAAGTATATTGTCAACTGTAGGGGGAAAATTGTTATAAATACATGTTATTAATAACAGTTATGAGATCATATAATTGTGAATGTATATATGAAATTAATAAAATTTTCAAAAAAAAAATTACAAGTAATAATTAAAAATAAAAGAATTGCTGTAATACTTCAAAGCCACAGGTGCTGTGAGAAGACAATCCAGACTAAACCCTTACTATGTTTGGTACTGTACATATTTAAGATGGGGAAAGGAAGAGATAAAAAGTCTTATTTATCATCAATGTTTACATTTCTTCTGTTTTCTGCTCTGTTGATCTCTCTCTCTCTCTCTCTCTCTCTCTCTCTCTCTCTCTCTCTCTCTCAATTTCAAGAAAAAACACATAAAAATACATAAAGTTTCAAATACAAACTAAAATTAGCAATAAAATAAATCCTAAAACCATTTAACAATTAAAACCAGTCAATGTCGATTGAAGAAGAATGCTCTTACTCTAAGCCCCTACTATGTGGAGTCCCACAGGGTTCAATGCTTTTTCCTCTCCTTTTCAACATCTACATGAGGCTGTTAGGTGACCTCATCCGCCACCATGGGGTGAAGTATCATCAGATGCTGATGATACCCAATTATCCATCTCCACTCCTGGCAATTTAAATGATCCAATTGGCAAAAGAAAGCTCAGGACTGTTTAGGTTGGAAACATGAAGAAGAGGCCTTTATCCTGCAGTGGATAGACAATGGCTAAAATGATGGTGATGATGATAGACACCAATATTTGGGCAAAGCCATTAAGGTGTATTTGACACAATTTATATTAAAATAACTATCAGTTCAGCCTTTCAGATATGTGAATGTTAACTCTCCAAATTCTATACTCACTATTACCATTGCAAAAAAAGAAGAAATAGACTCTACTTATTTAGATGGGAGAAGACTTGCAAATTCATACAAGTGTCTTTTTGTAGGTGCCACAAATGGAATTAGTTCTGCACTTCAGAAGTATCACAGTATGGTGAAACTATTACTCTAGGGTTATACCATAACGCTTTAGAATAATGACATAAAATTGTGGAAAGGAATGTATGATATAAGACTATACCCATCCAAGCAAACCTTACAATTCCACCATTCAAATCATTTTGTCCATCTCTCTATCACAAATTAATGAATGCATAAAAATATGTTGTAATGATTTCATATTCATCAAAACACTTGCAACGGTTGTAAAAATATCTGCCATTTTTTTCTTGTTTTTTTCCCACTGGTTTTTCTGTAGTTTTTTTTTTTATTTCTGCAAGACTCTGCAATACCCTTTTAACCAAGGATGTCTTTTCTTTTAATCTGTAATAGTTTATATTTTAAAAAAACATATAGACAGTTTTTTATATAAAGAGACTTACCTTTAAAGATTCCCATACAGGAAATTGTACAAGAGAGAAAGGAATCTGGAGTTCAAGAAAGAAAAAAGAAAATGAGATGCATGATTAAGTTGGATGCAGTTAGCTAACTAAATTAGGGTGGAAAATATTCACTCGATGAACTGTGGCTTCTTAAAATTATAAATCTCAGAATATTATATTATACACAAGGCTGAACCTTTGACTTACTGTCAAGTATTATAGACAGGGTGGGCTCTGAGAATCAGAACTGGCACTACCAAGTATGGTGAACTTTAATGACTTAAAGCCTAGAAAAATAATACAGAGAATGTTCTAAAAGGTACACACAGAAAACTATTTGCCAAAGAGCTGCCTGATCAGCTTTGCAGCTCAGTAAGACATTTAACTGAAGACTCAGCTATTTTCACAAGGAATCTCAGTTCAATACTGACCACTGGAAACAGAGATCTCTAACTCGTAAATCCCTTGGGAACTCAAATTGTCAATGCAAGTAACTGTATCTCCAAGGAGTTGCCATCTATCCTTTGCAAAATGCCCTATGTTGGAAAAAAAAAAGCCTAAACACTGCTGTTCCATTTGTTTTCAATACAAATGTATAAATATTTAGACCAAGAGACTGGCTGTAACCATTTTTGGCCAACAAGATATTTCAAACAGCAAGATAGAACTTTGGAGACCATTCTTGTTAGGACATCTAAAGGCACACAAACAGATTTCCCCTCCACACACATACGTATATTACAATCACTTTACTAAGGAGAAAAGACTGGCCATGAAGCTGTTCTTCCCAACTAAAGGGAGCTTTTGCTCTCTCCTTAACACCAAAAAGCAAGGAGTAATTTTAATTTATTTTTGTGTGCCGCATTCATTTATTTATATCCCGCCTTTATTATTTTCACATGTAAGATGGCGAACATATCCAACACACTTTCTTTCTCCTAGTATCCACACAACAATAACCCCGTGAGTTGAATTGGGATGACAGAGAGGGACTGGCCCAAGGTCATCCAGATGGATTTCATAGCTAAAGCGGGATTTGAACCTTAACCACTAGATCACTTAACCATTAGACAAGTCCCAAAATTTCCCCAATGAGTAGTGATATAACCGGTATAGTATGCAGTTACAGCTGCAAATTACAGACAATCCACAATGATTTATTCTCTTTTGCTAGAGTTAAAGGCATATGATGATCCTCGGCAGCCTACTCATTAGCTGGCACCCCAAGAGACACAAGACAGCTAGTTTCCAGAAACTACAAGCTACTACAAGCCCAAGTTCTGTGATGAATTCTCATTTCCGATCCTAAAAATTCACCATTTAATTATTGTGGTCCGAACCCTGAGATGGTACAGATACCATATTTTTTGGAGTATAAAATGCACCAGTATAAGATGCACCAAGGTTTTAAAGAGGGAAATTAAAAAAAAAAGATTTTGCACTCTGCAAACCTCCCCAAAACGGCCCTTTTTTTCTTTTTTTTTGCAAAAACAGGGCCATTTTTTTCAAACAAAGGGCATGAATAATCTTTAGGAGGTTTGTAGAGGCTCCCGGAGGGGGGGGGCAAAAATGAGCAAAAAACACTATGTTTTTTGCAAAAATGGGCCCATTTTTGGTCACAAAAAAGACATGGATAGCCTTTAGGAGGCTTATAGAGTGCTCATGGGGGCTGGGGGGGGGCAAAATTGAGCAAAAAACAGGCTGGTTTTTGCTCATTTCTGCCCTCCCCAGCTCCCAGGAGCTCTCTGAAAGCCTCCTAAAAGCTATGCATGGCCAGCTTCAGGAGGCAAAAAATTATGAATTCAGTGTATAAGACGCACCCAGATTTTCAGCCTTTTTTTGAGGGAAAGGGGTGTGTCTTATACTCCGAAAAATATGGTAGTCCTCAATTTACAATAATTTGCTTGGCAACTGTTTAAAGTTACATAGGCACTGCAAAAAAGTAACTTATTACTGGTAATAGATACTGTAACTGCAAGATTTTTTTTGATAGTAAAAAGTGATCATGAGAATCCCTTTTTAAGTCTGTAATGCTAAACTGGGATGCCAGTTTTACCATGTAGCTGAACTTTTCATCTCTGAAATTTTGGTGGAATACATCAGATCCTTTCAGATTTTGTTTATGAATCTTTTTTCACAAGAAACTGCATGTTCAATCAAAACATTAACCTTGAGAGACTATTGTCTGTTTATTATGTTCTATGTATGTGGCTGCAAACAGGTAATCTATTTACACTCATCTGAATTTAACAAGCACGCTTAATTTTATAATGCAATGTAGCCACTGTTATGATAGTCTATTCATTACTTTTTCATGATTTTTGAACATGTCGACAAACTGTTTTTACAAAACCTATATTGCTTAAAAGCTACAGTTTTTCAAGTGTAAAATATTATTATAAGATAACTGTCAATCTCAGCTTCATTTGAGTTTATGTCACAACTAGTCAGCCTAAAAAAACTATTCAGACATGTAATAAGGAAGACTCAAGATGAGAATGCAGTAAGCTATTCATAATGACATGTAATTTAATGTGATACTAAAATGTGTCTGAGAACTCTGAGATAAATTGTTTACCCTTTTGTAAAATTATGAAGATGACATACAGTGCATTCGAACAAAATAGCAGAGAAACAGATGTAGCCATTTAACATTAATTTAATATATTCACTCAAAAAAATAAAAACCTTTCACCATTTGTTATCTGTCCACATCACCATCTGTCTCCTTCTCGGTTTCAACTTCCAAAAATGGAAATTCAGCATAATACAATCCACGCACATTGCAATTTTAACACTTCCCTGGCCAAAAGGTTGAGGAAATAGCCATTTCTGCTATGCTATTTTCGCAAGTCTAATAATGTTGTGGGGCGCGTTATACAGAAATCTTCAGGTGCAATTCAAAGGAACCTCTCACATCTGAATGTCTGTCTCCTGAAATCTTCATTATAATCTAGTTGAGACTGTGGGATCCTATCCTGAAGGTGTTAAAGCCATTTAATGGATTGCTTTGCAGAAGATTCTAAGGTGTTCTTAAGTGGCATTGAAAAGGCAGGGTGACATCCACTCCATGCCTACCAAATGAGATAAGGCTTTCTTAATTTCTTTTCCTTCATACTTCCCCAACAAACACTGAGTTTAGAGAGCAGCACTGAGGTTCCGGCCCTTGTGCAAATGGGGTTCTTATGCAGCAGCCTGAGTACTTTTAACAAGTTTAAATTTGCACATATGTCATCTCTTTTGCATCTCTCTTTGAATGCTCCATATGGTTTGGGGCGACGCTATTTGAAGGACTTCCTCTCCACTATTATATCCACCCAGGCCACCAGGATGAGAAGGTAGGATATGTTATCAGTCCCATTGATTACGGATTGGTGGGATGACGAAAAAGGGCCTTCTCAGTGGTGGCTCCTTCTGTATGGAACAACATCCCCCTTGAGGTATGGTTGGTCCCCACCCTGAAAAGGCCGTAAAACATGGGCTTTGTCAGTGGTGATAGGGCCAATCAAATGGTTGATTTGATTTTGTTGTTGCAGACATTGGGGGTGGAGTGGGTTTTTTTAATGGATTTTTATTGCCATGTTTCCCTGAAAATAAGACAGGGTCTTGTTTTCTTCTGCCCTCCCCCCCAAAAAAATAAGCGCTTGGCTTTATTTTTGAGGAGGTCTTATTATTTTTGAGGTGCAGGAGGCGGTGAGTGTGTCACCTCATGGCTGCTGCTGTGTTGCAATATTTTTGGGGAGGGCTTATTTTGGGGGAGGGGTTATTTTAGCACATACACCCAAAAGCCCGATTGGGCTTATTATCCGGGAAGGTCATATTTTAGGGGAAACACAATAGGCAGTAGATTTTTAAATGCTGTAAGTCATCTAGAGTCCACCCGTATACAAAGGTGGTGGCTATATAAATTTGTGGAATAAATAAATCTCTCCACAATTTTTTCTTCTTTTTCAATCTTCTTTTCTCTTCTCCACTCCATTACTGATTTGCTACAGAAGAGTCCCAGTTAATTTCTGCTTTTTAGGCTTTTGCAATGTAGCTCATGCTTCACACTTCTACATAATTTAGAAAAGCTACTCCAGGGTTTTGTTCATCAATTTATTTTATTAACCATACAAGAGTAGTCATAAACATGATTTCTCAGCTGTTTCTATCTACAGAAAGCACTTTAGTTTTACTGTTCAGTCAGACCTTGAAATTTCAACCCAACCTGAGGTCATGGGACTAAATACAGTCCCTAAAAGCTTTCAAAGGCTTCCAGAAGTTATCTCCCATAATTACAATTTTTATTGATGCAGACACGAAAAATAATTATACATTATGTCTGTGCAAAGCACTGAAATGGTTTGCTCAGCCCAGTGAAATATATGACAGATTAATCCTTTTAACTATATCCATGTTAATATCAATGAGCTGGAATTTACTTTACGCACTACTTTTTTGAAGTGCAACCACTACACGTCACTCAAAGGGCTGAAGGTAAATCCTGGTTCAGAAACAGCTGTCCCTCTCTTGACTTGCTGAATATACAGTATGAAATGTAGAAGAAAATGAGGCACGATGAAAATGAATCAACTCAGGCACCACTTTTAAATTGGATAACCAAGAGGCCCTCTCACAATTTAATGAAAAGTCTGCTCTTAGAGAATAATGGGATGCATATTTAACCTCTCAATTCAACTTGCTGAGAGCCCTTCATAAAATAAATATTGTTATGAGTTACTTGCTTCAAAGTCAACCCAAATTTGAATGTATATAAAGTCCAAGACTGCATTCATTTTCTGATATGTCAAAACAGTCAAAAATGACACTGTGTACATGGCAGATGAGGTATATAACAGCTGTGTGCAACTCTTTCAACCAAGTGTGTCTTTTCTTTAGCCTGAACAGCCACACAATTCTATGAAAACAACACGGCTGAAGAACTTGCAAGCCCATATACCTGAGTGTATCATTAGAAGAATATTTGCAGCTCAGGGTTGAACTATGGCCATGATGGCAAACCTATGGCAGGCATGCCAGAGGTGGCATGCAGAACCATCTCT